AATTTTATATGTTTTATGTAATAAGTATTTACTACGCTGTGTTCATTTATGTACTCGTTGCTAAGCGCAATGATTAGAACTCTCGCGACAGCCTGTATTTATACTTTTCTGCCACTTTTGTATCCTCTTATTCACATTCTTTCTAATTAAACTATGCCTTAGCAAAAAGGCATGTTAATATAAAACATGCCTTTTGTTGAGAATTGTATTACAAATAAGCATAAAATAACTACATCTAATAAATGTTTTAATGGGCTTAAAAGCAGACCTACGAAGAACTTTAGGTCTGAAGTCAACTATCCTGAAGTTTTACTACGAAATTATTACCCAAATAGTTTTCAAATGGGCGCTTTTATTAGAACAACTGAGGAAAATTTATTTATCTCTGATTCCCAGAGTCTCAGTGAAAATGATGAGTTTGAGGATGTTCCATATTGCGATAGTTCTATAAAGTCTCATTCTGCCAAACTCGTGAAACAAGACATTTCAAAGTACAATCATTCGTTAAAACAGCATTCAAGGCTCGCCACGAACAAACCTTGGCATCCACATAATTTGCGCAAAATTGGTCCTGACTCGAGTTGGTTGATGCCAATAGGCCGCCTTCCTCATATTGAAGCAGGAATAATGTGGACAGGTGTCTACAGACGCATGCCTATAATGATATTTTCAGCCAAATCTATGATAACACAGAGTGATTCTGTTCGCTATCTCGGCGAGGCATTTTCCATGACCTACAAATTGATCCGTACTGATTGTAAACTATTAAAACGATTGCTTCATTCTCATGGCTTTCAAGAATCTTCCTTTGTTTCAGCAGAGTACAATATTTTGTGGTCGGGCTGTCATTTAAAGCCTTTTCAATTGCGCTACCTTTCCTTTTTTCATAAAGTCAACCACTTCCCTCGTTCCTATGAATTAACAAGGAAAGACAGATTGGCCAAAAACATACAAAAAATGCAGCAACTAAAAGGAACCCGTCATTTTGATTTACTACCTCATAGTTATATACTTCCAGCTGAGTTTCAAGATTTCTGTTCATATTATTCGAAAGACAAGGGTCCATATATTGTAAAGCCCATTGCCTCATCTCGTGGAAGAGGAATTTATCTTTCTTCACACCCTGACCAGCTTCCACTTGACGAGCCAGCTATCGTTTCAAAATATATTTCTAATCCTCTTCTCATTGATGGATTTAAATTTGATCTTCGCTTATATGTCGCTGTCACTTCCTATGATCCTCTTTGTATATACGTGTATGAGGAGGGTCTGGCAAGATTTGCTACTGTCAGGTATCAAAATGGAGCAAAGTTTATGAATTATCAGTGCATGCATCTTACAAATTATAGTGTCAACAAAAGGAATCAGGATTTTGTGCAAAATGACAATGCAGATATTGAAGATTTCGGTAATAAATGGTCACTTGGCGCTTTATTGAGGTAAAATTGTTCAATATGCCTTATAAAATGGCTACTAACCTTGTAATCTATTGTATTTTACTTATTATATTTTAACTGTGGCTGGCTTATAATAGCTCACTAATTAATCTCATGGTTTATTTAATGCTTCAAGCATATGAATTACTATCTTTGCTAAATAAACTATGAGGGCATTTGCACTGAGCTGAAATAATGTTGACTTAGGCCAAATATCTTTATTATTTTCTTTGTTATTCATCAAATTATACTATTACTCTGTATCTTGGCTTGATTCCACATACTAGAAGACTTAAATAATCTTCATTTATAAATAAGTTTATTTTACTATATCTTCAAAATATTTCACCCTAATACAGATATCTTAGAGATGAGCATAAAGATATAACTGGTCTTATGATGAGGATAGAAGAAATTATTATTAAAGCATTTATATCAGTCGAAATGCCAATCAATGCTGCGTGCAATCTGATTCAAGGTCATAAAACTAATTGTTATGAGCTCTATGGTTTCGATATAATCGTTGATGACAAGCTACGACCTTGGCTTTTAGAAGTAAGTATAGTTACTCTAGTCTATGTAATTTTACCTATTTGATGATTTATGATTGAATTTTATTGAATGTCCTCTGTAAAACATATTTTTATGGTCTCCGATACGGGATTAGATTTTGGCTTGGGTGAACAATTTCCAGTAGATAAATTTTTTATCCGAAATCTTATAATATGATCTAATAGCCTTTGTTTTATTTTCATTGTTCTTCTATGTGGTATTTATTCTTATAACTCTGAAATACTCTCCGAATCGAAAATTGATCATAATGGCTATAGTCAATCTAATTATGCAATATTCTTTAGGATTATGCTCTTTCGAATTTTTAAAAATTATCCTTTGGTCGCATTCTATTTATTGTTTTTGCTATATTTCGTTTAATTTAGGTTAATCTAATAGCCTTTGTTTTATTTTCATTGTTCTTCTATGTGGTATTTATTTTTATAACTCTGAAATACTCTCCGAATAGAAAATTGATCATAATGGCTATAGTCAATCTAATTATGCAATATTCTTTAGGATTATGCTCTTTCGAATTTTTAAAAATTATCCTTTGGTCGCATTCTATTTATTGTTTTCGCTATATTTCGTTTAATTTAGGTTAATCTTTCTCCGTCACTAGCTTATGATTCACCTTTGGACTTTAAAGTGAAATCTCACATGTTGGCGGACCTCCTTAGCCTAGTAGGTATTATATGCCATGATCCTGCTCGCAGAAATGCTCCTCAACTATCTGCTTCCATGTTTTCTCACCTAATAAGTGCAAGTAAAACTGTCACATGCGGAAGAAATGATATTGGGAGAAGCTCAATGTTTTCGGATGCGAACCCACAGCAAAATTCTCTACCTCATCCTTCTAAGAAGCCGATTATATTTGTATCTGCCAATAACAAGATTCACACACTTGAAATTCCATGTGAGTGACTAAATAATGTCATTAACACAATTTTTAACGTATGAAGAATATGACTGCTTTATTTGGTGCACCACTAAATGAGATGAGGCTATATATAAACAAAGTTTGGCCAGATTTTTTAATAGCTCTCACATAGATGTATTATCAGCGCATATTCGTTGGATGAGATATATATATGATTTTCTTGTTAATCCTCTTAATT